CAACGTCATCGGAGAAAGCAGGCCGACTTTTCACGTGTTTAAATGCCATCTTGCGCGCAGGTATTTTTTTCACATGTTCAGTTGATGTGCACTCAAACAGCGAGGTGTCCGGAACTATGCGTGCGTGGAATTCTTCCTGCCATGTGAACTGCGGGCAACACCGAGAGGCTGCCACTTTGGCCCCGCAGAGTTGTGTCTCTTCACAGGGTTGGCAGGGAAATTCCATGCAGCCTGCTACTGCTGGTGTGTCCCCAAATTTTGTCACTCCATGCGAATAATGTGCTTCAGCGAGTGAGGGTGTTGGTTGGGTTTGTGTGCACTCTGATTGTGTTTGCTACTTTGTGCGGGAACGCAATACTTGAGTGGTGGGAAAATGGAGCGGGGCGATGCATGGCTGCGTCTCGCCCATTGTTCACTGCACGGTGGTGTGGTGCACATTGTGGTGTTGACTCTGCGATGTGACTGCGGTCTCCTGCGCGATGATGGCGGTGGGTGGAGGAGAGTGTTGACCCGCGGCGGGCGGTGGGATCGTGCCTCCTTTTCTCCTTGTTCCTTCCCTTTTGTGAAGGTGTGCACTTATTTTTTGTGTGAGTGATGAGGCAAACAAACAAACAGAAAACGTGAATAAAACAAAATAAAAAAGGGCGATAATGTGGCGGTGGTGTGTTTGGTTGCACGTTGCGTTGCTGCGGGGGCGGTGGGCCTCGACTGCTTCACCGACAGGCGTTGCAGTGCGGCTGCATGGCGCACCGACCGCCCTGCCGCGCGAGTGCCACGCCCAACGCCATTGGGACAGCGAGACGAGACAGCCGCGACTGTCCTTTGGAGCCAGCGGTGCCTGCTGGCCGCAGTTGGGTGGTGCGAGTGGGATGCTTCACCGCACGGGTGTTGTGATGGCACCTCGCCGTGGAATCTCTTGTGATGGTTCCGACGCTGCAGCTCGACATGTGGGGTGGCGGGGAGTAAAGAGTGGCCGCAGTGGACCATGAGCAGCACCAACATGAGGCTGAGTGATTTCCTTTGGAATTATGTTGGCGGCAGGGCGGCTGTTTATGAAAGACTACAATGTGGCGAGGGAGATGTTTGTTCAGGAGCCGGATGATTACGTACAAGACCAGCGGCCTCTTGAAGAAATTCTTAACTTGACTGCGTACCAGGCGCTGGAGGCCATTACTAGGCCTCTTCACGAAGGTGTGCTCTCTCTCGGGCAACGTAGGGACTATGAAAGAAAAGCATACGATCACCCCTCTTGCAAGGAGAACACCAAACGGAGTACTCACGCAGGTGCTGACAGAAGCGAGGCGGGAGGCAGAGGAAAGGCTAAGACGAACGCAAGAAATGAAATTTACCATTTCCACTAATATCGAAGATGTACTGTTTAAAGGAAGAGCTCGCGTCAATGAAATGAGGCTGAACGACTTTCTTACGAGGGAACTGGACGGCAGGGGCATTGTGGACACCAATCGGGATGTCTTGCCGGAGGAGTTTTCCAAGGACCCCACGAAGTATATCCGTGATAAAGGAGCATTGAACGAGATACAGGCATCCGGTCATTATTTGAGTATGAAGCGAGCTGCAAAGGGTGAAGTGATCTTCGACGAGGATATACGCGAGCTATGCGATAAGGGTGTCAACAATCTACCGGGGTGGTCATTGGCTGCTGCGGAGGTAAAAGCAACTGCTCATAACTCCACCAAACACTTCTTGGATGCAGCTGCCGAGGAGGCGAGGAACCCAACGACGACGAGCGCACCGGAGAAACTGGAGGGATGCTACGAGTCTCTGCACAATGCGAGGTGGAGCCATGCGGTGGATCTTCCGGAGGGCGTGGAGCGAAAGAAAACGGGGACTGGAATGGGGGTGCATGAGGGGAAGCCAGAACAGTCATGGTCGTACAAGAAAGCTGACGACGCTATCGAAGAGAATGACGCTGTGCAGCAATTCGGTGCGGCACCTCCCGTGTTGATGGTGCTCACCTCGGAGAAGGGATGGCCGTACTCGTGGCATACGATACAGGAGCTTCCTGAGGACGTTTTTGTAAACTGTGCGGCGGATCGAGCGTGGCAGACCGTCAGGAATGATCCAACCGCGTGGTTCAGCCCTCACGGTGGGACCGACTTTACGCCTAGGCGACGTGTGTTGATTGGGACGCCCGGGATCGGGAAGTCGATGAATGCCGGCTCGTACCTCCTCTATCAGCTGCTGCACTGCGATGCCGAGAAACTCCAAGTGGTAGTCCACTGTTTTGGTGGAGGAGATGCGTACGTGTCTGACAAGAGCACCAGAGCGGTGACAAGATACAGCGATGAGGACATGTGCGTCTCGGAGTTGAGAAGTTTGAGGGGGCATGGGAGGAATGTGTATATTATCTACGATGTGGCAAAGGAGGGAACGCCGCCACCGAGGGATTTTGCGCCTACTTCTGGATGGGGCATGGTTGCGGTGTCATTTCCAAAGGTAACGAACTATGATGAGTGGGCGAAGCAACTACAAGCCGCGCGAATCATCGTGAATTGCCCCGACGAGATGGATGTGAAGGCGATGTGCGCCTGTATAACGCGTGATAAGACCAAAGAGAAACAAGCGGAATGCTGGAAAGAGGTCAAAAAACACATGTATCTTTTGGGACCGATTCCACGTCACGTCTTTGATGAGGAGGCGTTTAATGAACGCTGTGGAGCGGTGAAGTTTGCATTGCAATCGATCAACGAGGTAACTGTGAAAGAGTACTTTTCACGGGGAGGTGAGTTGCCATGGTGTTCTGAGGATCCGTTCCACAGGCTTGTGAAGGTTGTTCGGGAAATATACGCAGGCGGTGTGATCCTTTTCAGTGCACCGATATCTGCTTGCCTCGAGGAACGGACATTGGAACGCTTCCCAAGTGTAGCAGAATAAAATAGCCTTTTGAGGCTGATGTTGGCGTCGAGGGATAATATTTTGCCCATATTTTTTGGATGGTTTGCTTTGGAATCGTTCACGGAGAGTGCCTTTGTCAAGGCAATAGCGAAGAAACTCACGGAGTTTGAGGCGCCAACAGGACGTCAAGCAAAGCTCTGCGTCTTGTAGTTGGCCTGAATTGCATCCCAAGGGAGATGAGGGTTTGCTGCCGAGTGAATATGAAAAAACGATCCGTAAAGTACGGGGTGCTGTACAAACCGTGGGCCACAAACTTTTCGCTGGTGGACGGCTTTTTTTCTTCATGCAGTCCAATCCAATGACGCTGGTTGGGCTGCGGATGGCTACGGCGGATGGGCAACACACCACCGCCAGCACTGTGCGGCAGTTCACTGAGTGTCTGGCGGCATATTTTAATGGTTGGGAGGAATTATCCCGAGACATTTCGTGGGAGATTATTTACGTGCAGCAGGCAGACAGCACGCCGATGAATGACTGGCGGAGATGTGATGTCGTCAATTCCAATAATGTGAGCGACGATGAAGGCCGCGGAATAGCGGCGTTGTGGAACGGAAAAGGTGCGGCAGTACCAAGTGTCAATATTGAAAGAAGTTTTAGAAAATGTCGTAGGAGTTTTAAATTTGTGAAGCAAAAAGGCTTCGAAGGGAAAATGGAAGAAATAATTGAGGGTAATTGGCGCATTACTTTTATGATGAATTATGTTAGGGAGTATTTTCTCGATTTTTTTATTTGTGTGTGACTGCAGGTGTTGGTCAGGGAACGCCTTTCTTCCGAGGGAATCATTGCGGTCAACAGTCTCGCACCACTACAATCATTTTTTATTTTATTTTTTTTTTACTTCTGTGAAGGCTCCGTCGTTACCGGAGGATGATGTGCAACATCAGCGTGCCCATCCGGCTGTTGGTTTTGGTGCAGAACGGGCGGGAGGCGATGCTGTCGTTGTGCCTGCAGGAACTCGAGAGGGTCTATGGGTGGTCCGGACGCCTGGTTGTGAGTTGTCACCCGGAAAACATCGGGTACAGCGCTGCCGTGAACATCGGGTCACGACTTGCACTCTCGCTGCCACGCGAGGAAGTGCCTTTTGTTTTTGTGAGAAACAGCGACGTAAAGTTTTCACCCGATCTTCTTCCCAACCTTCTACGCGATGTGCATGAAATGACGAGGCATGATGCCGCTCGCATGGATGAGTTGTCGGCGGAGGTGGCGAATGGGCCGAGCGAGTACAGTCCTGTTTTGCGACGGGGCTTGAGGGTGCTGCGCTCCACGGTGAACGATGGCCGATTGTCGACGTCTGCGCTGCTGCCTGACCGCATCCGTTATTCCTCTGTGAAGGAGCGTGAAAAGGCGTTTTCGAAGCATTACGGGCATTTTGCGCGTATTGCAAAAGCAGTTGTTTTACATCTGTTATGTTGACACGCCTGGCGATCAGTACGGTGGAATACTTTGAAGAGAACTTCTACCCAGATTGCGTGGAGGATGTCGACTACAGCTTACGACTCCGTTTGCTTGGAATTCAAGAGCGGAATGTTTTATGCGGCAAATTTGTGCATCGCGGCAACTATAATATTCGTTTCTCTAATGAGATGGGGCTGCCGGACGCTCTCTGGTACCGTCGCGTCAGGTCTTTGAGTGCGAAGGATGCATATGCCATGATGAAGTGGGGCCCTCAACGGGCGTGCAGTGGCGGGTGCAAGGGGCCATATGACGGCATGGTCCCCGAAGACTTTTGGGTGAAGGATGAGGCACGCATACAGCGCATTCGGGCCTACGGGCATGATGAGGAGCAAGGGGTTCCAAAGGTTGAGTACGACAGGACACTTTTGTACCCTTTCACGACGAAAGGAAGATGAACTGGCGCCAGTCGCAAGTTTTGTGTTTTTATTATTTTATTTTGTTTTATTTTTTACTTTAATTATTAAAAGTTTCCTTTTTATATATTTACACAAATGATATTTAAGTGAGTACGCCATGGGTTTTAAAGAGCGCAACCATATATTTGACATGACAGGGGGAGGGCGCAGCGTCCAAAACTTGGCCGTGTTGCCGAGGGTAGGAGAGGGAGGTAGAAAGTAAGAAACGTGAAGATGATGGATGAGGGAGAAATAACAGGGGAGGGAAGCAGAAAACAAGCCAAAAATATTATGAGCACAACGCTGTTTCTCACGGCGGGCGATCGACGCCGCCATTGGCTACTAAGTTACCCACTGAAGGTGACACCCGTTTCCGCTGAATATGCTGCGTGCATATCTGTCGGGCTCTTTTTTGTTGGTTTGTTTGTTTCCCGCACATTTATTTCTCCGTGCCGCCTGACCCACTCGTTTATTATTCCCCTCTCCGTTTTTGTGCGTGCACCGAGAGAAGGGCTCGGGGACATGAAGTGCGCTCCCCTTCTGTGAGATGCCACCGAAAACGGGAGAACAAAAATGAAAGTGAAGCGGGGAGGGGAACCATCGTCACGCGTCCTTTTCTCCGAGAAGGCTGCTCGCCACGCCACTGAGGCGCGCCGTGTGCTTCACGAGGCCCGCTGGACTCTATTGGGGAGCCGTGAATGATGGCGCGTGTGAGTGTGGCGGATGCGTCCCCCAGGCGTCCCTAGAGGACCCTCTGGCCATTGGGACTGCGTGGAATGCGGGATTCCGCGGGGATATTTGGCCGTTTTGTTGTATTCTTCCATCCGCCCATCCCAAACCTCAACACGGCGTCTGGGCCAACGACTGCGACGGGATCCGTTGCGTATTTCTGAATCTTTTTTGCGTTGCAGCGGCGGGCCTGGTGCGTCCTGCTTGGCAGACACGGTGGCCGGGAGTGGGCTGCCGTATCGGGAAAACGATGGTCGCGGCGGAGCGTGTTGCGTACTTTGCAATTTGGCGTGTTTGTGGCAATCCTTGCGGATGATGTGACGACGCCTGTTTTACTTGTAGGGAGAGAAGCGATGCTCCACGGTGATGCACACGTTGCGTGTGGAGGTTTCTCTTGCTGTTGGTTTGTGAACGTTTTTTTTTCTTTTGCAGAAACACCACAGAGGGCGGTGTCTGCGGACAGCAGAGAACTGCGAGGAGGGGCATCACCCGATTTTTGGAGCGATGAGGCGGCTTCTGTGATTTTACGGTGTTTATTTTCAGGATTGAGAGGCTATCCTTTGCTGGAATGTATTGTGGGAGAACATCCGCGTGTTTGTTTTTGGTTAACCCCTTGGCATTTGGTGTCTGCCGTGAAACAGATGTTGATGGCGTTTCATGGCGGCGAGATGCATTTTTATTTATTTTATTGGCGAGTGGGTGAATTGTTTTGCGTTCTGCCACGCGGCTTGTTGCTGACGGCACGTGGCCGCAGGGAGACGTTGTGAGCGCCTCCGACGCGAGGTGCGATTGAGCAGTCACCTCCTCCGCTCGCCGGTACACGCTGTTGAGGCGGCGTGATGGTAATGAACCAACTTCCCAGAAAAGCAACGAGAGGACGTTTGCTCTTCCTGCTGCGGTGTACGAGTGAACCTCCAATCTGTGGGCGGGGTTGCCCTGCGTGCCGTATTTCTTTGAATTCCATGAGTTTTTTACATTGCCATCCACACGCACATGCACGCAATCCCCCTGTTTGCCCTCCTGTGGGCGGGAGACCGGGATGCAAAGGGAAAATGTGGCCCGTGCCAGCATGTGGTAAAGTCTTTCTTGGGAGGGATTGCGATTGTGATGTACGTCCTGGCAGGCAGGAATGGGATGAGAGGAGAGCGGAGGGCGAGTAACAACGATCGTGTGTGGGGCAATGCGCAGTGAGTAGGGCGGAGTGGTATTTGTGTTGACTTTTAAATGCATTTTTGTCTTTTTCTTTTGTGGCAATGGAAAGAAACTTTGGGTGGTGTGTTGTGGATTATTTGCACATGATTCAGCGCGGCAACACCATTTGCGGAGAAAATGAATGGCATCTGCGTGCGGCTTGTTTTGTGAGCGCGAGATGGTCGGGGAGGTGCTCAACGCTCCGAGAGGCCGGGAGCAAAGAGGCGTGCACTGCTGCAAGCAGAGGGATGCACGCTCCTGTTGGTGGCGTTTCTGTGGAGCCCTGAAGTGCCTGCAAGGAATTTGTTTCCGCCGCCTCATTATTTTGTTGATTGGTGCTTGCCGAGGCCTTTTGAGGCGGGGCGTGAGATGGACCGAGAGAGCGTGTGTCGTGCGGCGGTGCTGTGATTTGGTGCTGCCCACGTTTGTGCACATACTTCCTTTTGTGTCCGCGTTCTTGCCGCGGCGGTGCACCGGGAGCGTGTGACTGATCATTGTATCACTTGCGGACTGTTTCGGCAGGACTTTGAATGGCGTCGCCGAATGATGAAATTTCGCGTCCATTTGTGTGTGTGTGTGTTGGCTTCCTCTGTGACTTGCCGTGTTGTTGTTTTTTTATGTGGGCGATGTTTTTCCGTGATGTCCCTTACAGATTCTATTTTGTCCGCACCTTGCGTGAGTGATGTGCCCTGCTCTGCTCCTCGCTGACGTGTCTGACGTATTGCCGCTGTTGCTGCTGTACTCTCCACTTCTTGGACAAAGACACGCTAGGAAAGGAAGGCAACCAAACGCTAATCGCTACTGTGAAATTCGAAGGCTCTGGAAGGAACAACAGCACGCACACACACCGCACACACACATATTTATATGCTCTCACGTGTTGCTGCAGTGATGGCACCCCGCACACACAACCGTCGCCGCGTGACCGGATCCAGCGGGAGGAGGAGGGAAGGAAGAGAGAGTGAGCGGCAGAGGCCCAACATGTCGCGGCATCTCTTCTGCTCTGCGGTGCTGCTGCTCCTCGTTCTTGTGATGATGTGCTGCGGCACTGGAGCTGCGCACGCTGAGCAGGCAGGGGCCACTGTTGATCCGTTCACAGGGACGACGCCGATATCATTTGCTAATTGGAAGGGGTTTAACGAGGCCGGGAGGAAAATCACCTCGCTCCGCGTTCCTGGCCTCGTTAAAGTGGGTGAAGATGTATTTGCCGTTGCTGAATCGCAGTGCGGGGAGGAGAAGGGAGCCGGCCGCCGTGCTGGGATTGTGTCAAAGCACCTGAATATAAGTGATGACCCAATGGATATTTTGACGTCGGATTTAAGTTTGTTTTGCATGCAACTTGTGGACACCGCCGCGAATAATTTTGGGACAACAGAAGTGTTGCGACCAACGACGCTTGTGTTTGGGAACAGTGTTTACATGCTCCTGGGAAACCAAAGCCATACAAAGCCGCAGTTTCAAGGTGAGAATGAGCGGGGTCTTTTACTCGTGAAGGGAACTGTCGCCAATGAGGGTGGAAACAACAAGAAACTTTTGTGGAATGAGGCCCATGTGGTGAAGCCTGAACCCAGAGGAGATTCTTATTCCTTGACCGAGTTAACTGGCGGTGGAGGATCGGGCGCTGTGATGCGTGACGGCACGCTTGTGTTTCCCATGCAGGCCAAAGGCAACGATGGACAGAGCGTTTTACTCTCTATGAGTTTTACCCCGTCAAAGAACAAATGGGAATTTTCATCCGAAGCGACTGGTAAAGGCTGCAGGGATCCATCCATTGTGGAGTGGGGAGAAAACGAAGGCGACGAAAGACCCTTCATGATGGCTCAGTGTGCTGGAGGCTACTATGACGTTTACAGGTCCACTTCGCATGGAGTCAGTTGGTATGATTTGGGCGAGCCAATTAACCGCGTGTGGGGGAACTCACGTGATCGAGCAGGGGACGGCGTCAAGAGTGGATTTACCACCGCAACCATTGAGGGAAAGGAGGTGATGCTCATCACCGCGCCGGTTTATCCGAAGGAGGAAAATGAAGGTGTAAAAGGTCGGCTCCATCTTTGGGTGACGGACAATGCACGTGTGCACGATGTTGGGCCGATATCCCGTGAAGATGATGACGCTGCCGCGAGCTCGCTGTTGAAAAGTAAGGATGAGCTGATTTTACTGTACGAGAAGAGGAATGGTGAAGGGCCATACAGTCTTGTCGCCATGCGCCTGACTGAGCAGCTGAAGCGGATAAAGGAAGTGGTGAAGACATGGAAAGAATTGGACAACGCCTTGAAAGTTCCCACTGAAGGGCTGGTTGGTTTTTTATCCAGCACATTGGACGGGACTGCATGGAAGGACGAGTACCTCGGCGTGAATGCCACAGTGAGGGGCGGAGTGACCAGCACGGAGAGCGGTGTGACGCTCAAGGGATCAGAGGCGAAGTGGCCTGTTGGCGACATGGGGCAGACTGTGCCGTACTACTTTACAAACAACAAGTTCACTCTTTCGGCGACGGTGTCCATCCACGAGGTGCCGAAGGAAGGCAGCATCCCCATTCCTTTGATGGGTGCGAGGCTGAACGACAAGGACAGCACGGTGCTCTTTCAGCTGTCGTACACGAGTGAAAGAAATTGGAACTTCACACTTCACAAGAAGGATTTTTTGGTGAAGCCGTCTGGTGATGTTGGCAATTGGGAAAAAAACACGGCAATTCGAGTGACGGTGCAAAAGGATAACGATGATGAATGGTTCGTGTACGCTAATGGGAGAAGAATATACGAGACGGAAGAGGAAATGGCTCAGGACAGTAACGCTGATCAGTTTGGTTCACACAGGATCTCACACTTCTTCTTTGGTGCGGGCAATAAGGAAGATGAAGGGAGCAGCCCTGTGACGGTGGCTGATGTCCTTCTGTACAACCGCATACTGTATGATGATGACCTCGGAGACCTCAACGCCAGGACAGTCCCTATTCGACATCCGGCTGCCGAAGAACTGCACACTGCGGTGAAAGTCACGGCGACGGAGGAAGAAAAGCAGAAGGTCGGACAGCTGGACGTTGCACAGCCGGCAGCTGCATTGCAGACGGCCACACAGCTGACGACTTCCTTGGCAGACGTTGAAGAGGCTCCAATTGCACAGCCGACTGACTCTCAGTCTGTCCGTGTTCTTGCGGGCAGTGAATCGAGTGCTGAGAATGTTACGGACGAATTGAGTCCACACACTGCCGCCAAAAGTGACACTTCCGTTCCAGAAACCAATCACTCGGCATCCGATGGCAGTATGAGCCTAGACGACCGCCTCGCCCTGATCACCGACGCGAAATTGATCCTGCATGATTTACGTGGTGACAGCACTGCGCGTGTGCGCGTGTCTCGGGCGTTGCTGCTTCTTCTGGGACTGTGTGCACTTGTGGCAGTCTTGTGAGCCGAAGAATGCGACATCGCGACTCCTCACGGAGATTGTGTGCCGCATTCCCCGCGGGTTCTTTTTTTTTTTTTTTTTTGTGCGTGTTTTTTTTGTAATACTCAGTAATTCTTTTTTTCTTTTATTTTTTAATTTTTGGTTGCTGCACACTGTCATGAGTGACGTGTTCCCCCTCTTGTTTTGTTGTGTGTTGCCCACACGCGGTGCCGGCCCTGCGGCTGTGCGTCCCACGGCCTGCACGAAGGGGGGATTGGAAGAAAAGGCCGGATGCCGCAATGAAAGTGAGGGATGTTGTGTGGGCTGGTGGAACAGTACAATTTCATTTTTTTCGTTTTACTTTCTTTTTTTCATTTTCATTTTTCGTTTTGGTGCAGGTAATATTTATACAGAACACACGGTCGTCTTGTGCTGAACCGGCACATGAAGTAAAAGTCCTGCCGAATCAACACATTTTTTTTTAAATGTTTTTGGGAGTTTTTCTAAACTCCTACCCTTTTGTTTCTTTTTTCTTTCTTTTTTTTTAATCCCTGCGGACTTTTTTTTCTCTGTGCCATGTCCACTGCCACTTTGTGTCCTTGCGTCCCTTTTCTTGTCCCTCTGCTGACCGTGCTGTTGACATGCCCCTATTGCCTCTTTTTTTTCCCCCGCTAGAGGCACCGATATTCCGCGAAGACGATCGTTTGTGTTCGCCTTTGCGATGTCAACAGATTGGCTGGACGCCGTGCCCCGGCCTGTTGAGTGCACTCGGAGGAGAGCGGATGGTGCGCGCCGTGCCTCACTGTGAGTGTATGGCGCCACTCGCCACAACCTGCTGTGAGGCGTAATGCCTATTCGTCGGGGCAGAGAGAAGTAAAGGACAGCGCCGTGGACTTGCATGCGCTCCGTCCCTCTCGTTGCGGCCGTAGGTCTGTGCGCATGACTCTATCTTGCGGTGCGAAGCGGATGGCGGTGCTTCTGCGTGTGTTGTGCGGCGGGCTTCTCTTTTCCATGTCTTTGCCCTGTTGTGTGGAAGGTTGTGGGAGAGGATGTGTGCGGGAGAATGAGCGTGGGTGGCTGCCAGCCTCGCCCAGCGCATTGGGGGCTTCCATACATGTGGATTTGCTTGACGGCGTTTCGCGGCACCCAGGGTGTAGCGAGGAGGAGGATGGGGAGGGTCTGTTGTGGGCGGAAGGAGGATGGACAGGACAGTCCCCTTCCGTGTCCTTCCCTGTGTTGTTGGCAGCAAATACTGAGAGCATAAATGTGAGCGAGTGCGGGATGAAGGGTTTATGCCGCTTTGTGCGTGCTACTCAATCGTCGTCGTTGCACGCTGTCGTCACGGTGCGTTGTGGTGCGGTGCCGTTAGATGAGGGAAGGGTGCGATGCCACGGCCGCTGCGCACCACAACCATTTATTGCTTCTGCACCGGCATTGTTTTGTTTTTTTTTTGCTTCGCGATGGATTTGTTGGAGGAGCTTTGGTTTTGGTGGCTGCTTCACGGCGTTTCGCCTTGTGTGTCGGTTGCGGTTTTTCCGCGTGATGCCAAGGCGTTTGATGGGGTGTTTACCCTTCTTTTTGCGCCCTGCAGCCAGCCTTGTTTGCTCATGGCGGCAGCAATGGGACTCTGCGACTGCGCGCCTGCCGTGCGTGTGGCATCTTTTGCCGTTGTTCCCTCGCTGTGTTGGCGGGGGAGGAGGCGAGCGACTGCGTCGGTGGAGTTGCGCCCCAGTGGGAGAGGGAAGGCACCGACCGCTGCTGACGGCGACGGTCTTTGCTGCAGGCGATCTGACGGGAGGACGTAACCGGTGTCACAGTTAACCGAGATGGATGAGGACCGCACCGCGTCTTCCACCCCTTTCATCATCCCCTCAATCCACTGCAGTCACAACAGCCGCGCGGCATCTGCACGACTACCATCCGGACGTCTGTGAGCCAATCGGAATGCAATCGACATGGACTCTTTTCCCCGTGACCAAGTGCTGCCGCTGTGCTTCTTTGTTCCCTTCTTTGTGCGATGCCGTGCGCGCATGGTGTCTCTGCCTGCTGTGCAATGCCGACTCGCGTGAACGAGGAACGAGGCATTGACTGCTGGGGGCCGGCGAGCTCTCCACTCCACTTCCGCACCACCAACACCAACAACGCCTTTTGTACGCGCTTGATGGCTGGCGGTCGTAACGCTGCCACGCGGTCTGCCTCGGCTCTTGTGTGTCGTGCACGGCATCGGGACCGCCCTGTGATGCAGCCACTCGGTAACAGGAGCGGTGCCAGTGGTCGTTTGGCTTTTTGCCGGGATTCCACCACTCTGCGCGGTGACTGTGTGGGAGGTGGGAGGGCGATGGTGTCACTCACTTGATTGCGTCAGCGCGGCTTAGCTTCGGCGGCTGTACTGTGTTGGTTATTGTGTATGACCGGATGTTTTTGCGTGCCACTGTGTTTGGTTACTGTTGTCGCTGCTTTTATTTCTTTTTTGACCCTGCAGTTAGAGATACTTTTGCTCGACCAGCACAACTATCGTTTCAAGGTGTTAGGAGTTAATTGCAGTATTAGGATTAGCAGTATTAGTATAACGATCTGGCGTAATCGTGTCACTGGATTCGCCATATTTAGGAAGGGATTTGCTAGGCAGGAGTTACGGTCGACGGGTCGAGTGCGACACACCACGACAGCTTTATTGGTACCTCTTTGGGTCTGTGGATGCGGTCTGCGGTGGGTGCGTGTCCGCGCAGCCGGCACCGTGTGCGGTGCAGGGCAATTTTGACTGTGCGTGTGGCGCTGCTCGTTGTGTTGGCACTGGTTGCGGCGGCGGCGTGGGTGCCCGCGGCGCATGCGGTGGTGTTGCGACTGCGGGGCGGTACGGTAGACAGAGCCATCACGGTTGGCCGTGCCGTGGACACGGTGCTGATGGACGGCGTGCATATGACGAACGGCGTGGCTGTGGTGTTCGACGTGCCGGCGATGCTTCCCGGCGCGCTGCGCATCGAACTGAGGAACTGCGTGTGCGACGGCGGTGCGCAGATCTACGTGCGGGGCTACGGCGGCGAGCCGGCGAGTGACCGGAGCCTGGAGGTGAGCGTGAGCGGGCTGTCCGGGAGCTACTGCTCGCTTGTGTTTGTACACAACCTGCCGGCACACACGAACGTGACGGTCCGTGACTCGACGATTGTGACGCCGGGGCCAATGCACTACTCCCAGCTGAATGGGCTGACGGACGCTGTGGCGTCGCCGCTTGTGCTGCACGCGACATCGCTGTTGCAGTCGCAGCTGCGTGTGAGCAACACTGTGCTGAGGTCACTGCACGCGGGCGAGTCGGCGGTGTATGTTGGCGGCGGCGTGGATCTGCTGTCGAGCGCGGTGGCGCTTGACGGCGTGTTGCTGGAGGCGTCGGGCGGTCCGACCGCGTCCGCGATGCATGTGGCGTCCTCGTCACGTCTCAGTCTGCAGAGCCACTCGGTGTTCTCCATGACGAACGTGTCGGTTGTGAGCAGTGGCGGCGGC